TTAAATGCGAGTAGAGGGGAGAAATATCAGGATGACTGTTCCTGGTGTGTTGGCATAAAGGGTAGTGAAGATACCAAAATCGCAGCTGTCGGTCTGCTTCTTTCTTTCTTTCTTTTTCTTTTTCCCTTATAGGGTTTAAGAAAGGAGGAAGGAAATAAAAATTAAGATAAAACCATGTTTTCATTTATTCATTCAGCTAATGGAGAAATCAATAATTAATGGATGAATTTGTTCAAGTTTCTTCTGACTTGACCAGAATCGGTCTTTGCCCTCAAACTAAGTGACCCTCTTTCCTGAGATGACTTCTCTCCATCTGTTTCTCTGTGGTGTGACGTGAGCTACTTGGTTTCTGGATGAACAGGAGTCTTGTCCAGAGAAATGGAGTGGAAAACACCAGCAGAGCTCCTCCTTTCTCCTCTCTATATTATCTATTGAAAACTCTCCTGTGGCCAAGCTGGGGAGGGCTGCTCTTGGCCTCAGTTAGGCAAAGCCTTCACCTGCAGCATCCAAGTGAACCTCCCTAGCTGTTGCAGAAACAGTCTGCCTCTATTCAGCTGTCTTGACAAATTTAGCAGGGCAAGAGGGCTGGAATAGTTCATTTTAATTGTCTAACTAACTTAAGGCTTTTACAACGGCATCTTTCTGGGAAGGGAAATGCTACGACAGTATTTCTGGTGCTAGGCTAGCTGCTCCCTTAGGCAATATGGCTATGGATGGGCGAATCTGATGCAACTGCAAAAAGGCAGTAAATCAGACTATTTATTTCCAAGGAAGAAATTGGTGTGTCAGGTTTATATGGAAATTCTCTTCATGATTAAGTTAGTGGCCAAAGTAGCAGGCGTTCATGAAGGTGGCAAGTTGTAGTTCAGTTCCAGCACTTGCCATAATGCATCAGTCTGCTCAGAAATGGTGCTGGAGCTGAGGGACAGTTGTGTTGCTGCTTAAAATGATGATGTTCAACTGCAACTACAGCATAGTCATGAGACAGCCCAAATACTGGAGACAGTATTGGGAACGTGATTGTTTTCCTTAAGCCGAGTCCCTTATGAAGCCACATCTTCTGTTTTGTGTGTAGTAAAACACTGCTTTTAATTAAAAAGCTAGCCTGCTTTTGGTAAGAGTAGGGCAAGATGGGTTTTGTCAGACAAGTCTGTTATGGCTGCATTTCAGTGGCAGTGTATGGCCAATCTGAATATACTATTCTACACCCCCCGCCCCACCCCCCCAAACATAGTGGGACACAAATGCTGTACTGTGTAATGGAAATTCCTCTGCTGTGCACATCAGGTAGATCTGATTTTGAAATTAGCGTGTCAGTTCATTGCTTTGCCGTGATAAAAAAATTCTCTTGTTAGTCCCTCTCCTCATTTTGTGTATGTCAAACTAAAACCACTCCTGAAGTGGCAGCTTCAGGATTAAGTAAGTGGGCATTTTTTGGCTCAATTATGGCAATTAGTGTTCAGTCATATTGCATGTTTAAACTCAAGGGTTGACATGTCAACATTTTGCTCTAGCTTAAAGTAGGACTACTTTTGGTCAGAGAAGTGAGTGTTTATATACTGGTCATTACAATAGAAAGCTTAGTAAGCTAACTGAACATAACGTGTTGAGAGATGCTGTTCTTCAGGTTGACTTTAACAAAGTCTAGAACCAGAGAAGGAAAGCATATATATGGACTTCGTATGAGGTTATTACACTGTCATGCCTCAAACGAGCGATGTTGTGCCTTTTCTTCTTTCCAGCAATGCCATGGGGACAGCATCAATGTGTGCCCCTACTTCTGGTAGGAGTAAAGATTTGCGTGTGAGAAAACAGCAAAGGTGTTGCTCTGTAAAATCTATTTAAAGCCCAACCCAGTGCAAGCTCAGCGGCAACAGGAAACTTGAGTCTGTACAATACTTCTCTCCTACCATATTTGTATTGATGCTACAAGTACTACTGACTTGTGCTACTGACTGTAAATCTATGTAGATATAAGAAGCACTGTAAACAATTCAGCGTTTTAAATGTGCAGCATGGCAGTGCTCCATAATGGAAGTGCACCAGCCCATTTGCAATGTGGATAGTGGGAAGTGAGTGGCCAAAAAATGAGAGGCAGGCTTAGATCTTAACTTTGAGCAAATGCCTGCTAGTTTGGCTTAATGTTCTATACTTGACAGTGCTCCATGAGGAGAAATGTGAGTTGAGCATTTTGTAAATGAACATGTTTACAAAGAAAGAAGAAAATATCTCTTTCCTGCCAGTTGTCTTAAATTAATCCCTTAACTTTAAGCTTATGGTGTCTGTCTTTCAGCTTTTCTTTAAATGTGATTTAACGATGAACTCTCCTTTGTGGATGATTTGACATACACTTATACGTGCATTTTCAGCTTCTGTATGAGTATATCCAGTACTGGATGTACTACTCATCCTCCCTTACCATACTATATAGACCTGTTAACCAGTTCAGTTCATGTCCTTAGTAATTAGATTACTCACAGAAGACCCTTAATAAACACACATTAAAGCATACATTAGGGTAGTAGAGATGTAATCCAGATACATTTGCGGGGGGGTGATTCCCCCCCTGCCCTCCTTTGAGCTAGGACAATTATACACAAGAATGTGTGTGGAAAACCTTGAAGCTGAACACTGCATTGGAGTTAGTTAATGTATTTCTTAGCTTCCTTCACCACCACCCCCCCACACCCCGGTTCTCTTTCCTCTGTGTATTAGCTTGATCTTCTGTAATTTTATCTCAAGATTGTATTTGAGGTCTTCTAGTAGATTGTAGTTTTCACTCATTTAGTGGGCAAAAGCCTTGAGACTGTTCTTCTGAGACTCCCGAGTGGCACAGGTAAAGGCTTTAGCCTCGGTGTTGATTATTAAATGAGTTAATTCTTTTTTCATGGTTGACTTGAAAATTGGAATGGTTGCATTTTGATGTTTCTCCAGCAGCTTAGTTATTTTGACTTAATCTTCCTGTCTTCACTACTATTTTTGCACTTACCTAAAAACTGGGAAAAAAATGTAATTTCTAAAGGCCCTGGAGTCTGCTACTTAGAGCACTCTTGCTTGCATTTGCAGTTAACTTTGAGGAAGATGTGGGACAGCTGTTCCACCACAGAATCACCCCAAATTTCAAGGCAGTATATCTGTGGCCTAAATCTACAGTTATCTTCAAGATAAATGCAGGATTGTGGGTTTCAGTTCTAGGTTCAAGGTTTTTAAGCCTTTTTGTCAAAATAGAGGAATTGGGAAGGTATAGTGTTGAAAATGTGCATTTTTTTTTTTCTGTCTAGCAGCCCTCATTAACATCAGCTAGCTTACCCTAGACTCCTCTTTATTTTACAGTTCTCCCTCTAGAGATACATTAGTCATTGTTTCTGCACAGGAGCATTTTTTTCCCTGCAGCAATAATTTGATTGCAAGATTTCATTTAGTCTCCATCTAACTCTGTTCCAAACTTCTTCTGCCTCCAGCATGGCACAGGGTGTTCAAAATCTGTGATAACTCTGGCCATGATTTCTCCATTCTTTTTTTCCCTGCCATCTTTGCACCAAAATACCAACAGAGAGCACAGCATTCCCTTGCTTGCTGCAAGCCTTTGTAAATGTTAAGTGTATTTGTAAACTTTAAAGGTATTTATAGCCCATCTTTTGGGGTAAAATCCACACTTTGCTTACAGCCCCCATTGAAATATGATACAAAGGTACTACTTTTTCATGTTGAGTTTTAGTCAGTGGCATTAGTTTGATTTAGGCAATACTAAAGGTGCATGCCACCATCCTCAGCTGGTGAGGATTTATAAGAATTTTTTGGCATTAAAACTTTTCAACCTGTTCAATGCTTGATGTGTTTTCTGTCTGTTTTCTGCTCGGGGAGGACAAAGTGCTCTGAGGTAAGAATGTACTGGGCCAATGCAGAGGCTGTGGATTCACTGGCACATGCTGTCGGAGATTACTTTCACGTGGAATAGCAGCGTTCATAGGTGCAGTTTTGCTTCCATCGCCATGTTATATAAAAGCCTGCTCGCACAAATAAAGGACTTGAACCTTAATGAAGGGAAAACAAAGTCCAAATAAAATGTCCTGGCGTAAACCGTGCCAGAAAAGAAACTTCCTCCCCTCTATCGGAATCTGACACAGATCTTTTCATTCATCCTTTTACTTGCGTTTAGGCATACCTCCCAGTGGTTGTTAGGCAACCATAATAATGTTGCTGAACATGCAGGCTGGCTAATTGGATTGTCCCCTTCTTGGGTTTTTTGTTCAAACAGTCTTGGTCATCTTTAGTAAGGCAAGCACATGCAAGTGGCTTCATTGGCTGATGTGATAAACCAAGGGGCTTTTAAGAGTTCTGTGACATGTCAAGGACAAAATTTTGAAATCTGTGCGAGCTTTGACATCGTACTTAATTGAGAGCATAAGAATTTGCCTCTGTTGCTACAGAAGTCTGGCTAAATTCTGCTTTAATTCAGCACATTTCCCAGTTGTATTCAAACCAACCTATTTTAATGAGAATTTTTGGTTGAAAGGCAGTATCTACTCACATGAATGGAGCTGAGCTGCACCACAAAAATTCAGTGTTCAAATAGGCTGAGAATTTCCTGCGCCTTGTTACCAGTGTCACTAGGGTAGTCTTACTAACAAGAAATGTGTTCAGAAAAACAGCAGTGCTGTAGTACAGAATGAGATGCCACAGAAGAAACAACATATATCATAAGGATTGCAACGGTTTTGTTCTTTGTTACGCTCATAGGAAAGTATATTTAGTGTGTTTTTCAGGGGGGCTGTTTCTCTATGCCTTTTCGATGTGAGTGAACTCTTGCAAGTGATGTTGAACTTGAGTGTCTAGTACTTTCCCTGGTTGTTCTGAGTACATAAACTAAAAATGCATGTGATTTGCATTTACATAACCAAACTTACCTTGCATTAATTATTGCAAGGCAACTTGGTGTGGTTTATGCTCCACTTATTTGTCTCCTTTATTTTTTTTTATTTTTTCTTATCTCATTGTAGATTCACCAAGTTGAAGAGCCTTAACCTTTCCAATAATAATTTAGGAGACTTCCCACTGTCAGTCTGCAGCATCCCAACCCTGACTGAACTCAACGTGTCCTGCAATGCCCTCAGAAGCATTCCAGCAGTTGTAGGAGAGATGCACAAGCAAGTACTTTCTTCAAACTTAACGTACACAGGCTGATAATACAGACAACAAGCGGTTTCATGTCTCTGTACATAATCTTGTTATGATAAACAGTTTAAACCTACTGGGTTTTGTCAGAGCAGACTGGCTTGTAGATCTGTATGGAAGCAGTTGTGAGGTGCAGGTGGAGGGGAAGCATCCTTTGTCTCAAAGCTCTTCCAGTCCCCAGTATTTGACACTTTGACGCATGAAGGGTCACCTTCATGGTGAAGATAATCTTTAAACCCCCTTGCTTATGTGCTTCAGCCATCACACAAGTTGCAGTTCTGGAGAAGTTCAAAGATATGATACAACTGTCTAGCACGGCCTGCATTTCATAGTTGCAAGTCTTTTAATTATTTGGTTGATATCTTCTGTGGCAGATGTTAAAGCATTATTCCTTAATGTTTTTCTTTCTTCTGCCCTTTTATATATTTTATTTCACTGTAACTGCAGCAGATTTGTGTGTTTGTAGGAAGGAAATGTGATTGAACAAGTCACTCACTTTCTTCGCTCTCTCTTCCCCTCCCCCGCCTTTAATAGCTTGCAGACGTTTTTGCTGGATGGCAACTTTCTCCAGTCCCTTCCTGATGAATTGGAGCGTATGCATCAGCTCAGCTACCTGAGTCTGTCCTTCAATGAGTTCACCAACATTCCAGGGGTGCTGGAGAAGCTGACCGCCATGGATAAGCTTTGTATGTCAGGAAACTGCATGGATACCCTGAACTTACAGGTGTTAAAAAGGATGCCTCACATTAAACATGTGGATCTAAGGTAGGTATTTGAAAAAGGGGACAAATCAGTGGGTCTAAACTGTTGGTGTTGAAACGGTTTCTCTTTGGCTGTCAGAATAGCTGCCGGGTATGAATCTGTTGTGTTAGTCCATTGAACCATGTTTCTGGCAGTATGATGTAACTCGCTGCACTTGCTGTGACTCAGCGCGCTTCTTTGAGGAAGAGGTAGCATTTAGGGGGACCAATAGTTAGGAAAATGAGTGGGAGAGATTAATATTTATACCAAAAAACCCAAACAAAACAGAGCCTGGGACACTGGTGACTCCTGCAGTTCTAGTTGGTGCAGTGTTAATACAGTATCAGTGATAGTCCCTGACTCAAAAAGCTTCTGTCTGAAATGTTACAGATGCGCGAGATAAGGAAAAAGGCAGTGAAAGTGAGAGGACAAAAATAGATATTTTAATATTTCTTGGTATGTTAAAAAGCCTAGTCCACCATGACTAACATTATTTTATTGATGCCCTCAGCAGAGTCTAAACAGGACATTTATTACAGATGGCTCTGGTATGAGGTGGTTCTTTATTCTTACGGTCTTCAGGGAAGCCAGCTTCTGCAGTCAGCTGGGCAAGGCTCAATTCAGAGCCTGGACAATGAGGTCAAAATAACAATGAATTTTAGAACCATTTAGTTAGATTAAGCTCTTCAAGCGAAAACTTAGTGTACTATACTGCTGTGTAGCTGTCAGACTTTGCAATCAAGGAAGGGCCAGCATAAGTTAAAAAAACCAGCTAAAATAAATGAATTCTGAAGTGTATATGGTGGAGTTAAAATGTGTCTATGTGTTTGTATGTATGTTAAAAGGAAATAAATAAATTGTCCTTAGTGTAGGGATGCTGTGGCTGAGCTGGCCATGAGTTCCAGCAGTGCAGTTCCAGCCCTTTCGTTGCCTGCCGCATCCTCTCCACACTGAGCGGTGAACAGTGGTTCTTTGTATAGCGCTACCTGGAACAGTAAATGTCAAACATGTTTGTAAACTGTACTTGCTACACAGTGAAATGCTTTGCTTTGGTGAAATCAGAAGGAAGCAGTGCTTGTAAACTGAAAACAAAGTAGGCTGTGGTATTGGAGGGGGCATATTACCCGTTTTCTTTTCATTGGAAAGCGTAGCTATGCTGAAAACACAACTGTTTTACAGAGGGGCAAGTCTTTGAAAGCAAGAGTAACAACAAAACTGCAGGTATATGCCCTTATCCTCCCTAGGGAGTCTGAATGGGCTGACAGAAGTTACTATACCGATCGTAGCGTTCTGGTCAGAGCTGAGAATTTGAAACTGAAGTCTTTGGAGTGCTCTGCCATCTCAAACATTGCTGGGTTATAGATAATCTTACTTCAGTTGTAACTTCTGGGGAAGCTGCTGAGTATTGGCAGTGTCAGTGCACTGCAGTGAAGATGTGATAAAACCTGTTCTCTTTATCTGACAGACCTACTTGTTTTGGGTTTTTGCTTTGTTTTCTTTCAACACCCATTTTCAGGCCTCTGAATTCGTTTGCTGTGGAACATGGCAAAGCGAGAGGCAAATACAGGAATTCAGAAATCTCAGTTTGGCCTTTCAGTAAGGCAAGAGGTTCCAGTATCTGCAAGGTTACTCGTATCTGCCAGGCTTTTCCAGCAGATGCTCATGATAGCCCAGCAGGAACTGTAGAGGTTTTGTTCTTTTCCAAACTATCAGGCACGAATAACAGCTAGATCATCTTTTATTTTTATAGACACAATAGCAATAATACTTACATTCTTGCAGAGCTTTTTATCGGTAGTTTTCAAAGTAGTTTAGAAAGGAACTTGGTGTCATCATTCCTTTGTCATGATGGATGAAACAACAGAGCTGATCCATACTGCTTTTAAAATACCATTACAAAGGGGAAAATATTTAAAATCAACCTTGATCAGAACCTGCAGGCATGCTAGTTTAATCCAGCACAACCAATTGTAGAGTGAGCATTGGTTTGTCAGCAGGAGCTTGGCACGTAACTACACTTAATCTCCTTTTTTGTCTGCAAGATTGAATTCAATTAGGAGATTGGAGGCCGATGAAGTAGATTTTCTGCATCACGTGACCCAGCTGGATCTCAGAGACAACAAACTTGGGGAGCTGGATGCAACAGTTTTTAACAATGTTGAAGTGTTACACTGTGAACGGAATCAACTGGTAACCCTCAAAATCAGCGGATATTTTCTCAAAGCGCTCTACGCTTCCTCAAATGGTAAGTGCGTTTTCAGGGCAGCTGTGGGGTGTCATCATCTGACTTCTGGTTTTTGTACCTGGTTCTCTGTGGGATGCTTATGGAGTGCAGTGCATGTGATCAGGAGGCTCTTGACATGACCCTTGGATAAAAGGGTTTCACATGTGCTCTGTCAAACTACTGCCAATTCTGAGCTTAGAAGTGACTTTCAAATAACACTGGGCTACTGATTTGGAGGTGTCAAAACTGTGAAAATCTTAAAATTTGGGCTGGAATTCCTCTCTATGTCAGCAGGGAGGCTTCTTGAAGTTGTCGCTTCTTTGGGTTGTATTAATGTGTTGCTTTACCAAGGCAAATAGGGAATTTATTGCTTTTCCCTAGAGTTTAGAAAGTTTGAACAAGTGGCCATTTGTGAGACAAACTAAAACAATATATGTTTTTGCTACTATTTCTAGCTACTTACTCTGGCAAGAAAGCTACAAAATCTATAGTAACTTAATTTGTATTCAATAATAAAAATAATGCAGCATTTTCCAGTTGAATAACTCTTGTGTTCCATGAATAGGATTTGTTTGATCTGTCTCTGGAAGCTGCTATTACTTAAAATACTCAGTTTTCACCACCATTTTTATTGTTTGGAGTAGTTTGGGATGGAATAAACAAAATGCAAGCCCAAAGAGCTGTGAATTTGCCAAACAGTCTGCACTGCCTTTAAAAGGCTGGCATCTTAAGGATATCTAAGCCTTTGCCTTCATTAAGTATTCATGCCAGGATCTTTGTAGCTGAGAAAAGTTAACAATCTGAGCATGTGCTGTGCAATGTGAGCTGAGAACCCAAGTCAACCCGTATCTTGCCATCAGCTGCCTGTTGGATCTTGCTGTTCCTCCTGGCTATCCTCTCTTTGCACCCTCAGCCACCTTGCTTTAGTCTCATCTTCCGAAGGGACCGTGATGTTTTTTACCTTTTCACTTTAGTGGATTTTCTGCAGGCTTAAATAAGTGTCTGCTGGTTTTGTTTCAACCTTAATGCTAAGCATTAGCTACCTAAAAACCTTAGAATATGAAATATTATTGAAGCAATCAAAATATAACATTATTAGCAGTAGTTGAGACGCTATGAAAGGTCTGTAAGGCTGCCTGAACAAGGAACTCCACAGGGATGTAAAGGCTCATGTAATGTGTTGAAAAATACTCTGGATCTTGCCATGACCTGAAGGACTGGGGTATTCCGTAGCTTGCTGTTCCAGAGTGGGGAGTCTCCCTTCCGTGCCTGTACAACGGTACAGTGACCAGTGGAAAGAAAAAAAAAAAAAAGTAGAGCAGGTTTGTGACTATTCTGGGCAGAGGGTGGCAGAGGTGATGTTACAGCTGTGGGACAAAAATGGAAAAATGAGAATTTGCCACGGAACTTTTAAAATCCTCCAGTTTCTCCTCTCTGATCAGTTATGCAGCATCTGTCATAGCAAGTACAACATAATATAGCAAATGTACTCAGACATAATAAATAAACAAAACTCAGTTCACACAGGCCCAGATCCTTAGAAGTTTTTTAGGTTACTGACTTGTTCTGAAATACCTGGGTGTTAGCTGCTTAAAGTAACTCTTATGGAACAGCCATTGAGGTGCAAATCTTTATCACCACTTTTGTTTTTATTGAATTTTGGGGTTTTTTTTTTCCCCCCTAGAACTTGTTCACCTTGATGTGTATCCAGTTCCTAATTGCCTGGCTTATATGGATATTTCTAGGTAAGTATGGTTTGGTTTTTTTTTTTTTCCTTGGGCCTGTAAAAAATACAACAGTGAGGCTTATGGAAAAATGGCATTCGCTGGCATTTTACTGGGAGGGAGTGAGGGCAGGAATTGGACCTTGACATGCGAGAAGACTGATTTTCAGAGTTAGAGGATGGGCTTTCTTCTACCAGCCAGTTCTTCCCTGTTTCCTTTTTATAGATGTACTTTTTTTTTTTTAATAGTGCTAAATGCAAAATGTGCCTTTAACTATAAAGAAAAAGAGTTTCCTTGATTTAAAGATTTCCTGTCGTAGAGATACAACAGAATGATTCAAACGTGCACCAATGAGACGTACCGAAGTTCCTTTCTGGATATGTCTGTGTCACAAGCCAAGCGTAGGTGATGGTTTGATCATTCACTCATCAGTACGGCAGCTCCTGCAGCCCATCGTTGTTCTCTGCAGCCCTGGCTGCTGCAGGGATGTCTGCTGTTGCCATTTGAATGCATCCATAAATCTCACCTTAACGAGGGAGGTGGGATAAGGAAAGACATGGAAAAGGGGGTCTTTTAGTTTGTTTTACAGTTTAAGGACTGAATCAGGAAAACACTGCATACATGTGCTTAATGTCTGTCTTATTTAAGGAATTACTTATCTGCATGTTGAGGTGATAATCTTGTTCATTAAAAAGCATGTTTAAAGCACTCTTAAAGCTGATGAGGGTGATTGTAACAATTAGTGAGTTACCCTGGGCGAGTGGCCATCAGCTTCAAAGTTTCATGAACCATGAGTTACTCCCATTGTGTACCTGAATGTAACACACAGGTGTGGCTAAGTAAGTGTGATTTATTGAAAAGCATTCTTTGTAAAGCTGTGTTCTCCATTTAGCTATAAATGAAATTGGTGCAGAATGTGTGATTTTGATCACAAAACCCTTTTTGTGCCTCAGTTCAGTGATGGCATTGTAACTAAATGGATAGGCTGTCTTTAGCTTCTTGGCTGGCTTGGAATTTGGGAAATCTGTTTGAAAAGGAAGCTATCTGAGGACAAGAGGGGAGGTTTGCTATCACATACTTTGCTTAAAGTCTATTGCATGAATAAACTACAGGATACAAGTACATGAATGTGCATAAACATTGATTTATGTTCATGCTGTGTAAGGGTCCTATCCCTGAGCTTCAAGTCTGCGAGTGCCTAAATATTATTCGATCCCCAGTTTTGCATCTGTGCGCTAACTGAAGTTGTGGTTATGTGAATGCACATGCACACAATCTTCTCCATGTCATTTGTGCTGCTAATTTTTGTCTTTAAGGCAGGATACATGGGTGCCCTGCTGTGCCTAGCTGCATGCTTTCAGTGCAATATTTGGCAAAACTTACCTCTAAGAATTTAGTTTTTAGAAGGGTTAGTTTCTGTGAAGACAAATGCAAGAAAAGCAAAATGCTTGACCTTAAAGATACACAAAAAAAAGATTGTGCTCTATTCAGTGAGAGAGCTGAAGAGTGGTAGAGTGGGTTTCCGGATTGCCTTTATGGGGGATCGAAGAGGTGTGTTTCAACTGCATAGGGCGTGAACATTTTCTGAGGAGTATCTCACAAATTTTCTTCTCCATCGAGAGACCTTCATCCTTGATACTCTGATGCTCTTAATGCTTCTTCGCCAATAATTTGGAAGTAGCTTTTTCCATTTTCTTAGTGGCTGCACGTCTAGGGAGAGAGTAACACTGTTAGCTTTCTTAGTCCCTCACTCGGGACCTTACTGCACTGGTAGTGCCCTTAGAGAAGGAGGGGTGATACAATCTCATAGGAAACATTATGTAGCACATTTATTTCCTGCAGGCATCTGTATCTCTCTCGAGGCTGTATTCTTAATAGTCTTTACATCTCAATTATCGTTTAGTTATACCTCTTTGTGTTCTTTACTCACAGAAATCGCCTGGAAAACCTGCCTGAGTGGGTATGTGACAGCAAGAAACTGGAAGTGTTGGATGTTGGCCACAATCAGATACGTGAGCTGCCTGCCCGGTGAGTCTTGCAGACCAGTTGCACAATATGGAGCAGGATAAGCAATTCAGAAATAATTGCTGATTCAGTGTTTAGCTTGTTCCAGTGACTGTCAGGACCGTTTTATCTTTTGTTTGATTTTATTTTTACCTTGTGGAGTGTCGTCATGCCTCAAGCTTCCACCCAGCCTTTCTTCTTTTACTTTCATGCAGAGAAAGCAGTGCCTTTGAACTCCAGGTGGAAGTTTTGAAGCTGTTTATGTGGCTGCTCAGGCAGGAAAGCCCTTCACTTTTAATACTGAATATGAAATATTTACAGCCATAACTTTGCATGACAGTTTAGAGATCCAGAACTTGTAACTTAGTTTCAGTTCACAGCCCTGTTTGAGTGAAAAAGGGCTGAGAAGAGAAGGTAAAGCCTCATCAAGCAAGTAGAGAAATCACCTTCACTACAAAGATGATCTCTTTTCCAGGAGTCTAAACTTAAAATTCATAAATACAAATGATAGGAAAGCAAGTGAACAGGAAGGAAAATAAGAGCTGAGTTTAAATAATAAATGTCTCTTACTAGTTTTTTCTAGAGAGACCTGTTCCAAGTGGGTATACTGGTCAGGTGCTGGTATTGAGAATTTTTAAGTCCTTGACTTCACTGGAAGAGAGCTGTCATTCTTGGCTGCTCTGTATGCTTCAAAAGAGACGTCGTGAAAGGGAGAACGTACTGGGCAGAAAGGGTGAAATTGTGTGGGGACGTGCAGAGCCACTGAAGATTGTAGACAGCTACTATATGATGAGCTATTAAATATTTTCCTTACTGAGCTCTACAGCACATAAGAGCATCAGAAACCAAAAAGGATAGTTTTGTCTGGGTCAGATGAATGTGCCATATGGTGTAAACTGGCAGTTTTAGTGTCGTAAATGGAAAGAGAAGAGATTTCAGAAATGTGGGCAGAGCAAACTAACGGGCTAACATGCAGGCTATTAATCCCTCTGTTTTTTCACACAAAGTGAAACTGCGCCTACTCAGAAGGTGGGGGGAGCAAAAGTTGATTTGCCTTTCATTTGCACTTCATAACAGCAAGGAGTATCAAGGCACACCGGATATCTTTGGGAGATTAATGATTAGCTGAAATTAGGTACAGTCAACATCCCACTTGTCTCTCCTGCCATCTTATCATTAACCCCAGGAAATAGCTTATCTTTGCTCTTCTTTGTAGTATATGTCTAGATAGCTTAGCTCCTAATAAGTCAGCTCAGTTGTAAGGCCCAGTTCAAAACACAGGCTTTGAATGTCTGTTAAACTTCAGGGAAATTTGGTTCAGGCATATAGACCTACTGTTAAGTATCAGGTAAATACTAGTGCCCAGTGAGTGTGTTCATGCAGACTGCTACGTGCTTTTCCTTCTACTGTAGAATAGCACTCTGAAAACCTTTGAAGTGAGTGAGCAAGACTCTCCTAGGAGGATGCTTGCAACTCTAACCACAAATGTTCAAGCCTTGACTGACCAGCAGTTTGCTGGAAGCCTGAAGGTTGCACCTAATCTAAACAAACTACAGTTGATACTATGCGCGTTTGCCTCTTGAAACAGAAGAAAAATCCTTGAAGACAAAGAATTGAAGCAGTTGAGATAGAGGACTGGGTACTGTTTGTCTCAATTAAAGAAAATGGGAACAATGTACACTGGGCTGTAATGCAGCCATTTCCACTTTAAAAGTACTGAAAAATAACAAAAAGGGTTTTTTAAAAGATCTATTTGTATTGAACATTGTGTTCTCTTGAACAGCTGCTTACTAAGGGAATTGGTTGAATGCTTTCACCAAACCATGTTTTCTCAGAAGATGCTGAGCAGCGTGCTTGTCCTTAGAACTTTTTGATCCCATCAAAACTTCCAGTGGGAGCTGGGCAAGTGGGAAAGCTGACCATAGGGAAGAGCAGTCCCAGCGTCCTGATTCCCCACCCACCTTGAGAACTAGGTGTCCCAGGCTCATCAGGAGCTTGCTTAGTTAAATGTTGGGTGGTTCAATCTCTCTTCAGGCAGCCCAGTTCCATTGGTGCTTCTGTAACTTGGAAAATAAGAGAAAACAAGCAAACAAAACCCCAAAGACTTACTCAGTTCTTCTGAATTATTTATAAAATATATTTTCATGGAAAAGCTAATTGCTAAGGTTTTTGCCATGATTTGAGCTGTTTTTTGTTTTAAAATGGCGCTGTCCCCACCCGTCAAAAAAAAAAAAAACCCAAAGTGATAAATTTGTCTGAAGACATTGTCAACCAATTCTGCTTTTTCCTGTAATGTTTGGTGTTGATGGTACTGGCCAGTCTTGATTAGGAAAGGAAATAGAATAGAAAGGCAAATCTGTAACCAAGAGAGATTTTCAAGTAAAAGTGGAGTGAAACAAAAATGGTTAAATGATGAAAACATAATAGATATGCTTATCACTGCATGGTAAATCTTTTCACCCTGTGTTGAGCCTTCTGGAATGATACAGCTGGCTGTTGACTTGTATCCATGGTCATAATGCAGACAATCCAGCCAACTGAGATAACTGTTAACACTGGCGCACAGATACGGAGTATGACTGTATCTGTCAAGGGGAAAATACTCAGCATACTTCATTGATTATCTTGGCACAATAATCCAATGACCTGATGTATTTCAGGGAAGGGGGTGGGGGGTGGCTCTTTATGTGTATTTGGGTCATTGTAACAGAGGGAAGAAGACTTTTGCTTTAATGCTGAGTAATTTGAGAGTCTTTGATTGAAACAGGTCAGTATGATGCACAGGCTCGCCAGATTAAACAGTATGGTAGTGGGAACGTAAGACAAGTGGCAGATGAAGAATAATCTTTCTTTTCTTAATTTGCTGAAAGTGGTTTCCCTTCAAAATTGAGAGTTGCTCCATTTTTGAGGTCTTTCAGTGCAGATTTTAAACTCCTTGTTACGTTGTTTATACTGCAAATTTTAGGTTTACTATATGATCAAAGTAGCTGTTTGTTCTTGTCTCTTTACATTGCCCTCTTCTTCCCCTCCCCTTCTGCCCCAGCCCCCCAAAAAAATGGAGCAGGGGGATGGGACTCCAGGTCATCTATCGCTTGTAAAAGCTCAAGAAAGTAAAGCCGATTAGATAAATTTCATTCACTGTAGAACTGGAAAGGAGGCTTTATGTTGGTCTGGTATTAACAGAAAAGGAAAGTGGGGGGGTGGGGAATTGCACTGGATTATGAGTCAGCACATGATGAATAGAGCACTACAAAGCTTGTGGGGTGACTGGTGATTTCACCCACACTTCTGAAGTTCTTCCATAAGCTAGGGAGATCCCACAAGTGCGGTTTTCTGCAGCCATTGTTAGCAATTACCTCCTTCACTGTCATGCTTCTATATTCATGTTTTATACAGTGCAATAAGATAACCCTTTCTCACTACTTTCACTCCTGAATCATCCTTAAACCTCCTTCCCTGTCTCTCCACAACCTTTTTAAGAAGTTGGTGGAGAGTGGGAAGACATTCTTGGATCTGTGCATAATTAATACCATGTCTGCTAATCAGTTGGCTGAATCACTTTCTTGTAACGAACTGTGATATTGCACCTAAATTCTCAAAGCAACTCTTCGGTTTGGATTTTTCTCATTTTTGGTGTTTTTTATTCCTCTAAGGTTGTTTTACAGTAGTAGCTTGCGTAAGCTGCTGGCAGGACATAACATGTTAGGAAGGCTACCAGATCGGCTCGAGCGAACGCAAGTGGAGGTCCTGGACGTGCAACACAACCAGCTCCTTGAACTGCCATCTAACCTGCTTTTGAAAGCAGACAGGTAAGTATAAAGAAATTTGATCTCAACTCGCATGTGAGGAACCTTGCTTTGTGTGTTACTTCCTAGCTGAAAGGGTAATCTGAGGTTCCCCTAATTTGAAAGTTGCCAAGCCTTGTGTGGTAAGAACAGATGTCTGCCCAACTCACCAAAACACATTCTTTTTATTCTGGTTTTGTTGCCTTATATGGTTGCTTCTTTTTTGCCTGCTGAACACCTACTTCTTGAAATCTAGCTGTAAAGTGAAGCACATGCTATTTTCTACTACATACACTGAGATGGGTTAGTGGCAGTTTCTTTAAATACATATTTCTTAGGCTTGTTTGATGGAGTGTGAAAGCTTTTTTTCCCCCTTCAGTCAGAGGCTGGAACTTATTTATACCTGTCAAACAAAACAAAATATGTGCATAAGGCTGTCAGAATAACTCAGTTATTCCCCTGTCCTTGCTTTGTGAATTTTTTATGCTTTTCAAATGTTTGTCACTAATTTAGCTGGTGTCACCACTTGATCTGCTTTCTGGTTTCTTATTTTTATGCTGCTGTTTCTTTAGTCTCAGAGTCTTCATAATCTTTTTTCCTGGGTATGAACATATCCTTAAAGTGGCTGTGACTGAAAGGTTGGTTGTGAAGGAGGTTGGTAGCATAGTCTGGGGATGGTGGATGGGCTTGCCTCACTTGGTGTCAGTGTTCCTTGCACTTCTGCACTTCCACAAATAGTCATGGGATTTCTGAGTGTTCAACCCATGCATAATTTAACAGACAGTGAGATTGTGTGCTGTGGGGTTTTATTTCTCATCCTAACTGTGACAAAAGGAACGCATAGCTCCTGGGTTTCTTGAGCAGTGGAGAAGCAAGAGGAGTCGTGATCTCACTGTCACAGCTCCTCACCCAATTAAGAGCATTGCAAAACCCCTACTTGTATACTGTTGTTCATTCTGTCATGAACTTCTGGTTAAATTTCCTGGGATTCACAGCGTTGGGAGTTGGAGAATTAGGTTTGCGGTTGAGGTGATTTCTAAATAAACTCTTGACTTGACTTACTCTTGAACAGTAATGTTCTGAGGAATTTATAATTTAGGTTAAAAATTACCTTTCAAAAGGTGAACTTTACTAGGATGGGGTTTTGGTTCTGGGAACCAGTGTGTGATTCATTTCAGCCTTGATTTATTTTAAAGAACCTTTAAAATAATTTTTGTACTTTGATTTTACTTTTTTTTTTAACAACACTATAGCATACCTGTCCACATTCAAGCCTGTGTAGGGCACCACCTTTGGAACAAACTGATCACCAGCAAAGTTATTCTGATGTTAATTTACTGTTTCAGTTGAGACTTTACGTAAAAGTGCAGTCAAAGCATTGAAATTTAGCAATGTTGCTACTGCAATAATTGATTATCTGGCACATTTCTGTTTAAAAGTGGTGAAATTCATAGCCTGTTCATGTGGCAAGGATGTTTCACATCAGCAGTTGTCATTGTCTTGTGGATGACTTTTCAAACTGTTGTACATTAGAGATTGTATGAACTTCAGAAATGAAACCATGTGAAAAGCTTTTTTACAGGAAGTTGCAAAATTAGGTCAATAAAAAAAATCCTATTTACAGGTCCCAAGTTGAAATGCCTATCTGTTAACTTGGAAAGGAAGGAAACCTTTAAGTAAGTTTCAAAAAGCTGCTGGCATCTTTGAAAGCAAAGACAGAAATAATTTTGTAAAATTTGTATTAAAAACAGGTTGTAGGTCTAGGATGTAGATTAGTCTAAGTTTGGCAGTGAGAGAGAAGCTGAATAAAATTTTTTGTACTGCAACTCATCTTTTTAAACTGAGCTACAAAACTGTAGACAGCTTTTCATTATTTTTTTTGTGATGCCAAAATGAACAAGTACAGGCTAAAACCAGAATTGAGGGTAGATTTCCAGAAGTTGCTAAACGTGTGCTGAAAAGAGGTAGAATTGAAAAATACATTGAGTAACAGTATTAAATGGCTGATTGAGTCTTGGGGATTTTTTCCCCTCTGCAGCTTTGATGTTCTGCAGCTTTCAAGCAGTACAGGGCATGTGTTTTCAAAGTCTTTTACGGGTATTAGCAAAGTCATGTACCATCGCAGGAGATGAACAGAGCTTACCCATTCTGGCGTCTCATCACCACTGCAATCTCCCTCATTTATGATGATGATAGAAGCAGTTGGCTTGGGTGGGGGTTTTTCCCCCTTGTTCCCTACCCCTTTTCTGGTTTAGATGACTTGGGTTGCAAAAGGCTTGTCCATGCTGGTGCTCCCATGACTGCTGCAGAAGTGGTAACTGTGAAGGAAAACAGCAGTGCCAATTAGTGCACACTGTCCGAGCTTTAAATTTGGAATTTCCTACAGGAGACACCTTTCTTTTTATTGTGTTTTCAAATGTTTGCATCTGTCAACAGCTAAGCATCAACAGAAATGGGTCTGGGCCAGGGAAAGGTGTTCAGGGGTTTGTTTTGTTTAAAAAAAAAAAAAAAAAAAAGGTAAAATGCTCCTCTTCTCCAGGCATTCCCTGGGAAGCACAATCTGTACTGCCAGACGTGCCAAGAGAACTGGGTTTCCCGAGTGGTCTGCTGTGGTCTCTACCCAGTGTGTAATGTTGGACAAATCACTTTACCTTACTGAACTTTCATCTCTCCATAAAATGACTTACCTTTTGCAGCCTTGAAAAGATCAGTTTATTTTCTTGGAAAGGTACTTGGGTCTGTGCAACTGACAGATGATATCTTGTCTAGATATGAAGTCTCATGCTGTGAATTAGAAACACTTTCTCCTTCTCAGTCCTGAATATTTGACGAAGTGGGTGTGAAGTGCCTTGGGCAAACTTCAGCACAAGCACTGGTGGGCTTTGACATCTAGAACATCTGAGGAAGGGAGGGAAATCGGTGCATTGGTGCACAAAGAGAGAATATCACTTTCACCAAAAAAAAAAAAGGAAAAAGTACTGAAAAGCCTCTCTTCTCTTAAGAGAAGAATCAGTGAACATCACTTTTCTGCCTTAATCCTTCAAAAACCAATGAAAAGGTGTCATTGTCTGCTGAAGAGTATAATTTAGGGATATTTTGTTGGTCTGCTTTTTAATTAATTTTCTGTTGTAAACTGTTACTTGAGGAGAAATTGAGGACTAGCCTATGAAACATTTCTCTGACCAAGACAGAACTTGGTTCTGTTTATTGCACTGAAAGTATGCACATCTTGATCATGTTAGCAAGGATTTCTCTTGTAGGGTGGGGATTTTCTTGGCAAGATGAGCGCCACAGAGGCAGCCAGATAATCTCTTCATTTCTCATTACCAGATGCTGCAAAAACAGAGAATTCATGCAAGTGCTGTGGCTGAGGGGGAAAACTCCCAAGTAGAGTCCTGCATCTTTTTTCGTGCACCTGCCTTCCTGCAGCCTTTAATTTCTATGCACTGCTTCATCTGTTGTGATGCCTTTCCCACTCTGTCCGATTCTCATACGTACTTTTTACTGCCTGCCTTGACCAGTTTGCAGCAAACTACCATTTAATGACATGAAAACAGTTCTACAAAATGATCTTCAGATAAGATGGAGAAGCATTCAAGACCTTTAGCGGGGTATGGTAGAAAAGCAGTGGCAGTGGTGAGGGGGGGTTAAAAATGGAGACGCAGTGGTGAAGGGCGACGGTTTGCCTCCTGCTTAAGCTTCCTTTCCAGTTAATACGCGTGTTTTCGGTATAAATCCTTAAAACAGCCAGTGGACTATTTAAAGCAGTTGGGTGGTGAAGATGTGCAGCCGTGATGTGCGTGGCTTAAACCTTGGGCTTTGTTTTCTGGTGGCTGGTGGCTGTCAGCGGTGGTGGCTAAGCCAGCGTCAGCTATTCGGAGCCCATCCAGGCTCTCCTCTGCATGATTCTTGTTCTCACCTTTGTTCAGCTGTTCTTACCAGGTTTGATTTTCTGTTTGTTTGTTTATTTTGATTTGATTTGATTTAATTTGTTTTGGGTTGTTTTGTTTTTTGCTGGAGTTCTGGAAGGTGACCCAGTTAAACTTGCTCTTGTTTGATATTTGCCATTTCCACCTACTGGGACTGCTTCTTTTTGATGCAAGTATTCAGTCCTATCGTGGATGCAGAAGTGAGGGAGGAAACAAAGTTAAACGAATGTAAAGAGATATTTGAGTGTTTGATGCACATACTTTTTTGCAGAAATGTTTAGCTGCATTTGTTTCTTTGCTGGTAGGTTAGGGTTTGCAAGCAGATATATTAGAAACTGGGGAAATCCCAGTTAATGAAACAGCTAAAGATAGGTTAGAAAGTGAGAGCTGAGGAGACACAGCAGTTAAGTGGGTTTTTTGGCAGTCCATCAACAGGAAGGGGATTCACTTGAATGTTTCCGTCCTTTTTTGGTTTTTTTTTTTTTTTTTTTTTAAAAAGGAGAAGAAATCCCCTCTTTTGCACCGGCTGGCAAAACTGCCTTGATTTCCTCCCCAGCCCCCCCCCTTCCTTTTTCCCCCCAGACATGCTTCGCTTACAGGATTCTTCCTCACACACCTGCTACCACAATCATAAATTACTTTAGGATTAGGTGATCAGAAATTGAGGACATGTCTCTGCAGAAGGGACTGAAGAAGAAATTTTGTATTTTGATTGCTCTGTGCTGATGGAGATCTTGGGGCACAGGCCAAACTGGAGATCTTGATTTCTCTGCATATTCTCTTTTTGTAGCTGCAGTATTCTTTCCAACTCTTATCAGTACTTTCAAGCTAAGCACAGTGGTTTTGATTTGCTGCTGCTTCACCATTGGATGCAGTTGTCTGTGTTGCTCCTTTTAATGTTGAACATTCCTAAGCTTTTTGGAGGACTTAGGGTTTTTGTTTTTGTTTTTGGTTTTTTTTTTCTCATGGTGGCTGTGTTTTACCAGCAAGCCAAGTTTGCCAAGCTACCTCAGAAAATGGTGAGGAATTGGGAGATTCTGTATTCTCACAATTACCTATATCCACCTTTTGTGTGTGCTAGAGGTGGGCACTGGTGTTAAAAAATTTCAAACCTTTTGCAATTTTCAGTAGAAGACTTTCTTCCTCTGCTTTGGAAGTTCAAATTGAGATCAGAATCCTCTGAGTTTAAATAGGGAATGCATGTGACTGCATATTAGGTCTGTTTTGTTGAATTAGATCCATGTCCTTGATTCTAGCCTATTCTTTGGGACAGTCTTTTTTTGTTTTGTCTCTTGGAGAAGTTAAATTCAGCAAGGGACTGTACTTTAATACCCCATAAAACCGAAGGTGACTTATTCCAGCTGGAGATCAATGTTTATATTATTACCCCAGAGGAGAATTTGCACCTTGTCAAAGCTGAAGAATTCTGGCCTTTCCCTGCCAGCACCTTTGTTTCTTTCTTAATCTTTGACACTCTTCTAGTACTTGTTAATTCATGCTCTCCTCGCTATATTATACTCTGGTATGCACAGGCTGCTGAATTCAGGTTTTTATAGTGATGCTGTACTTTTTTCATGAGCTTGTGGTATAGCGTGTGGGTGGAATTGGAAAGGGAAACAATTAATTTTGGACTGAGCTTTAATACTTGACATTCTGCTTCCATCTGATAAGCAGTATGAGTGGGATATCTTCAAGGAACATGAATAAGTTTAAGTTCATGCACGAGAGAGACGGGAACAGTTGTGCCCAAGTAAATTTCCACTCCTCTGGAGGGCATTTGTAAGATGTGCCTTCTAAGGTAGCAGCTGGCACGTTGCACAAGGATGAAGAAATAGGGAGTGGAAATAACCTGGAGGAGGACTTCTGGGTTAAATCAGCAGGGAAAACCTGATGGGCAAGTACAGATTTTTTTTTTTTTTTTTTTTTGACATAACATTATAGCACAGAATTAACAAAGGTTGGTAGTAGCAATCTGCTGGTTTGTTCTGTTCTTTGCTCAAAGAATGGTGTGTGTGTCCTTCCCTGCCCCCCGCTTTTTTTTTTTTTTTTTTAAATCCAGAGAATATAGTGAAAGAATTATCGTTTCAGAATGTTTTTACCACTTTAATGTAACAGCTGGTCAAAAGGAACATGTAAATAAGCAGTATACTCTTTTCTAAAAAGTTAATTTAATTCTAATGATGTCAGCTACAGGCAGAGATTACTGTGTGATTATCCTGAACCTGACTGAGTGCTACCCAGGCGTGAGTTGTTATGTATGGGATAGGTGAGATACCCTGCTACCACAGGGCTTCCATTCTAGACTGCTGTCGACATTTTGCTAGCCACCTAAACCTTGCTCACATCAAGGCACTGAACTGTAGGTCAGGGTGGTGGGGATTTATTTCCAACATTGTTGTATCACTCTCTGGAAGATTTAGCAAAAGCGGGGAGGGGGGTACAGAGTAACAGCTCTCCTCTCTCCTTTCCCCATTGGAAAATATATGCTTTAAAACTTATTTTTGGCAGGAATACGCAGATTCTGGCCACTTTTAATACCAGTGAGGGAACAATTTGAAATTTCTTGTTGTATTCCACCAATGTTGAAAGCTTATTAAAAACAGAAAAGGTTTTGTTTGATTCATTTTTCTTTTGAATTTAAAATGGCTTCAGTATAGTAGACTGTATTAATTTCAGCTTTATCAGAGCAATGTACCTTTTCTTACTTGAAGCTTTCAGCTGTGTTTTGGACTAGCTGTACTTGAGCAAACTGATGTTCTTCTGAACTTCATAGCCATAGGATGCTCTCTAGCCTTATCTGTTTGTCTCTGGTTATTAAAAGAAGGTACCTGTGAAACACTCCAGGTTATTCTGCTGCAGCTTGCAAGAACATAAGTAAAATACAGATTCCTCTTCAGGGTAGCGGAACATGCCCTTCTTGGGGGATGTTTTGCTGCCACCTCCTCATCCCTATTGTATTTCTCTGAAAGTTCACTTTTCCCAACAGCCTTAAACCTTTTTATTACTTAAGCCTTTCCAGGCTGAGCTGAAGACGACTGTTTTGTACTATGAGTGGTACAAAAGATATTGTGGCTTTAATGTTAATCAAAGTGCCTTTTTTGTGGAGAGGGAAGACTATCATGCATATTAGATTGAAATTGCCAAAGTAATAGTTGTCTGTACTTCAGCAATAGGTGTTCTTGCTGGTGTTTAATTAAGCACAGGAACTGTTGATGTGGTATGCTTCAGTTTAATAATCCAACTTTGAATGAGCTTAATATATTTTTAGTTTATAGCTAAAGGGTGAAATTGAGCAGCATCTTTTTAGAATAAATAAATTATTTTAAAACCCCTTTCAGCTGCTTATTCCCTTCTCTGTATTAATCCTCCCTCTCCTCCCTTCCTCCTCTGGGGTTTTACCACCCTTGTGAATAATGAATGAGCCTGAGGATTAAACTGTGTTTCTCCAAAGTGGACTCCTCTGTCTGGGTAAAACAGCTAACCTAGTTTCAGTTCTGTGCAGTGCTGAGAGATTTTTGCTTCTAATGGAAATAGTAGGGTTTTTTAATCCTTTGGCATTCCACGTGACTCCTCTGTAGCATGTCTGACCCTTATTTGCTGCTGAGCAAGTTTCGACTAGCTGCAACTCTTGCAAATCCATTTCATTCATTAATAGACCTTAAAGGTCACTGTGGATTTCTGCGTGCATGGGAGAACCTATCAATATTTTATCACTGTCTCTTAAGACTGATGACAGGAGTGCATCTACCTTTTGTGTCCTGATTAGTGGCTTTATAGGCTTCAGCCAGCTCATTTCTGAGTCCAGTTTCTTGAATGCAACTTTGCCCGTTGCAGCTGCCCATTCCTGTTAGCTGGTAGGAGCAGGACAGCCTGGTTTGAACACGGTCACTGCAGACTGGCAGGCACACACTTAGTTCTGTATCGCAAGTTGTCTAAGGCTGCCTTTTCTGAAAAGGGGAGGAAGGAAGAGAGGGGTCTTATTTCAGTTGAAAAGGCATGGTCATGCCAGAGTTGGTTACTAAAGGATAAATAGCCTTATTTTTCTATTTCTTTGGAACTGCTTGTGTGAATTCTAGCCCTCAAGATGCCTACAGTGTGTATTCCTCCAGTGCTGCTGTGATCACCAAACTCCCCTAAAGAAACATGAATCCTCTGCCCACAGAACTTGACTGGCAGGAGTGGGCAGTGCCTGTACCTCAACAGGTCTTGTTCCTATCCTGGAAAAAGTCCTTTGAGGGAGAAAGAATAACTTAATTTCTGTGCTTCTTCAGTCCTTGCTGCTTGTGGTGGGCCTGCAGAAAATACTGACAAGGGCTTCTGGGAAAGGGCATTCAGGAACTACATAGAGATCCAGCTGTCTTGCTGCATACATCAGCAAGCAAGTGTATTAACTTCTTAATTTACTATTAGCACTGTCTCTCTTTAAAATCTAAAAGGCAAATTACTGCTTGCTCTCGGGGCTTTTTTTGTGATTGTTGCATCTTCAGTTATCCAAATATTCAAAGAGTACTTTTTCATATTTTGTAGTTGCTTTCAGGCCTGCAGGTTTAAACAAGATACTGTCTGCACTCTAGCCAGTATTTAAAGTACTGAAGAATTGGCTGGTGCTTTTACCAATGACTTCTTTTAGTCACTTGAAGGGCAGCTATACTTTCATGGTTCGTTGACGATGAATTCAGAAATCATTTTTATGTGGAATGAATATGGAAATGATGTGGTTTGTATACTGCTCTTACCTGTAGGTACATTTGTAGTAATGTTGGAAGTACTGAGGTCTTGATAAGGGGATAGAGGCGTTTTGACATACTCACTTTGCTGATGTTTTGTTTGTACAAATGTATTCATTTAAAAACGTGATCAGGAGTTTTGTTCATATAATGCTAGACTTTTGGTCTTTCTATCCATTGTTGTAAACTTGTTGCTTTTGACCTTTACTTTATAACTATCTTAACTCTTAAAAATAGATATTTTTATTTATACTTCTAGACAAAACCTGCAGGGTGTTTCACTGAACTCCCTTATGCAACTTCCCTTTGCAGCCTGAGATTTCTTAATGCCTCTGCCAACAAACTGGAAATGCTTCCTCCAGCCACTCTTTCTGAAGAAACCCATAGCATCTTACAGGAGTTGTATTTGACCAACAACAACCTCACAGATAAATGCGTACCCTTGTTAACAGGCCATCCACACCTGAAAATCTTGCACATGGCTTACAATCGCCTACAGAGCTTCCCCGCAAGGTAAGTAACTGGTTTCACTGCCTCCGGCCCACCGGTGGGTGGGCATCATGAAACATTTTCGCAGCGAGAACTAAATTGCAGAGAAATGTGGTGGTACAGGCTGTATTTTGAATGCACTGATACTGTAGTGGGTGGATTCACCTGCTATGCCCTCTTGCACGTTGCTACCCTCTCTTGCATTACACAGACAAGTGAGTGCTGCATGTTAGTGCTTTGATTGCACTTGATATTCTTTTCAACTGGACTAATTCAGCATGACCACAGTACGCTTTTGAAGTCAAGCAAGGAGGTCTTCTGTTTTCCCGGCTTGGTCACTTTGCTTACACCTGGTGGGCTTCTCCTTGCAAGAGATTTGTGAGTGTAGCAATCTGGAAATGTCCTCTGGAAGTGGACTAAACTCCACTGGGGAAAAATCCTCTCACTCCAGAAGGAGATTCTGCCTTGGCAGCAATTTCTGTACTTTCAATTCACTCTGTTTTAATCAGAAATCTTTCAAGTGTAAGATGTGCTGTAAAGCTGATGGGGTACAACCTTGGAAGAGAGATGCCAATAAATAAAGGAAGAGACATCTCCGTCCTTGTGTGATGTTCTGAGCAGCTGGGCTTCAATGGCAAGGGGGAGGGAGGGGGATGAATTTGGGGGAGGGGCTGAGTGGGATGTCAGAAGACGGAAGGGAGAATTTGGGGTGAAGTGAGAAACTAGGGTTGAAAGGAAGGGGGGAAAAAGAGTGAAAGTGAGCTGGTGAGCAGGGGAATGTATGCAAAATAAGTCACTTGAAAAGTAGCATTACAAAACATTGACAGAAGAAGCACACATTTTGTTCCACAACTGTGTTAGCATCTGACGTGAGGAGAGGTGACAGGCACTGCTGTGAACAAGGACCAAAGTCTGCAATTCTATTTTCTTAAAATAATGAAAACCACTGCTCTTATCACCACTTCAAAATAAAATATGCGTGTCTATTCAAAGAAAAAAAATTCTCAAACTCCTGTTTTCATAGCAAAATGGCCAAGCTGGAAGAGTTGGAGGAAATTGATATTAGTGGGAACAAACTGAAAGCCATTCCAACAACCATCATGAACTGCAGACGTATGCATACTGTAATTGCTCACTCCAACTGCATCGAAGTCTTCCCAGAAGTCATGCAGCTTTCTGAAATAAAGGTAAGGAATGAATGTGCTTTGGAAGAAGCACGTATAATGCGACTTTACTAATTCTGTTCTCTTCTCAGCTCTCTAATTGCTACAGGGTAGTATATTCTCAGAAATTACAGAGATCTGACAGCTGCTTTCTCCTCTGAGGTCATATGCAAAATATTTGCCCCTGTGCTGCCTTAGAGTGGAAGGGAAGAAGAGCCTCAAAATCTGATTTTACGCTCACCTTCACCAGACCCTATCTTTTCTGCCAAATAAGTGTTAATTGTCTTCCTGTGACAGTCTGTTATGATACGACTTAAACATTTGGCAAGAGCTATGCATAATTAACTCTTGCTGCCTTGGCAATTGGTTGATTGTGTAGGAATGGACTTTGTTTAGAGTGCGTGTTAAAAATTGCTGAAGCTGCAAAATGGGATAGGCCTTGGGGACAGAGATAAATTCCAGGAGTGCAGGATTTGAGTGTTCAGGCAAGCTACTTTAATTTTCCTAATTGCAGTCATATTTTGCACAACCGGAGGAATGCTTAATCCATCTCTTGTATGTGTTTCCAGAAGTAATTCTGTACTTTTCCTGACACTTCTTTTTGTGGGACACATTCTTTACTTGACCACGCTGAAGAGCACTACTGCTTACCTTTTGTGAATCAAGTTCCTGCTTCTCGCCTGGCTTTAGTGCAGAATATTTTGCGCTGCATGCTGTTTCCACTGGCCAGAGCTGGGAGACTGTTAACTTACAGCGTACAAATCTTGTGATATGGCAGAAAATCTGTCCTTCTCAGAGTTTGAGAACTGATTACCTATTCACAGGCTCAAAACAACTTAAGTGTTCTTCAGGCGCTTTGTAAAGTCAAAAGGCTAAGTTCCCAGACTGACGTGTGTGCCTCAATATCTGGGGTCAGGCAAAGCAGCAGGAGCAATAATTCTGTTGGACAGCGAGTACATGTAAAGATGAGCTTTGTGGGTTTAGCCAGGAAATCTGAAACAAACTTGTGGGTTTTTGAATACTCCTCCCTCCTTGGAACAATGGCCAGAGGAAGCAGAGGGCCATTTAGAATCAATCAGAAGCAAAGCCTTTTTTCTTAGGGGAAGAATTGGGGTGGGGGAACGAGGCTCTGCGCAGTAAACATTTCTTTAAAAGTATGAGGGTGGTGTCAACCAAAAAAACCCAAATGAGGATAATGTAAACATGCTGATAGGGAACAGTCAACTTTTTCCTTTTGTTTGTGTTTTTGGGGAAAGCTGAACGTTTTATAAAAGCATCAGTATTTAAAGTGTTACTCTGCCAGAACGCTTAGCAGAAAAACCCTCTTGGAAGACCTGGCAGTTTTCCTCCTGCTGGTTCCGTATGGTTATTTAGTTCTCTTTAGCAGAAGAAAGAGGCGTGGACCTCACTAACTGTTTTGGGACTGCAGGGTTAGCATGCGTGACTTCATCTAAGAGGACACAGTGCTCTAGGACTCCACCTTTGTGCAAGGAAAATGCCTGGTCGGTACTCAAGCTGGTTTTGACTTAGGGGGGGATGAGTTCATATAGTTGTCAGATGGGAAGGTACTTTGTTGAGCATAGGGGTGGTTCTAGCTTCTTGTGATTTCTCTAGGTCGGGGTTGGTGTTTGTCAGTTTGGAGGTCAAACTTGTGCTGCCTGGCTGTATACATTGCTTAACTGGAGCTCCTTAGGTACGTGAGAGCACTCAAAATGTGCCAAAGTAGGTTCAGCATTTATTGTTTGAGTATGGATTTGGTTGTTTGGTGATATAAGCTTGCTTGTAGCAAAGCACAAAGTTGTATAGTCTTATGCCACCTCTGTGATTATATCATATTTGATGGTTAATTTTAACTGAGGTGGCATTCAAACACTCTAAACTTCTTGGGAAATTCTGTTACCTGAGGTAATGGCTGTTTTGCTTTTGTATTTAATTAGCCTGAGAGGCTGACATACTATGTTTTTGGAGTGAATGATACTGGAACAGTTAGTAGCAGCAGTTACTATGCTGTCTGAAATAATTTCAGAAGGAAAGCTAGTATAAATTATGATGCTTTTAAGCTTGCAGTAACTCCAGGATTTCCAAGCACAAGGTCATTTTAGTGATACAATTGTCTCTAAGCCTTTTTTACACACTACAATCAAGGCTACAGAAGTTATGTGTTGTCCTCTGTGTTGAAAAGCCCAGTGGATGTCTCTGAGATATCTTATACAATACATTTTTTTTAGGGTTTTTATTGTATTTCATGACAGTTACATATACTGTCAGAGTTAGGTTTATCTGTGCACACTGAAATGTCTTCTGCGAATGGCCGAGAAGCTGGAAGCACACACACCTAAGTCAGTGCCCCAGCAGACTCATCCTTACAGCCGTTGTTTGACTTCAATTTCCTTGCCTTAAAAAATAAAAAAGGGCACTTTTTAAATCATTATCCAGCATCCTGGTGTTCCTTTACAGTCAAACAGTTGCGTACTCCTTACTGCTTGAGCAGAGCTTGGTGACCCAGGCTTGCTTTTCCCATCTGGGACCTGGCTTTATTTTATCATCCAGTTTTCGTTGACCGATGAGTTGCTTCTCTTTCATGGCTGTCTTGCTGGGCTGCTGTGGTGAGGGTGATACGGATTCTTGTCACAGTTTTTGGTCAAGCTTATCTTTCAGAGGAGCATTACCTTGAGATCTGAAATAAGTGAAGATCTAGTAGCAGTAGCATCTTAAAGACGAAACTCTCAATCTTTGGTAGTTTTTCTCCTAGTTAAATAGGTTAGTATCAGTATGGCCACCTTCGGTCACAGCTGGAGATAACTCAAGCACTTCCAGCCCTGGACAAAACAGTTAAAGCTGTAAATGCAGTGTAAGCAAATGCTGAATATTAAGCCCTGTCTTCCAGCTGGCCTATCCACTGCAAAATCCTGTGTGCAGTTGCAGTTGTTCTTCTTCTGGTGCTGCATGGGTGGGGCTAAACCAGCTTGTGTTAAAGTAAAGCATGGGGAAATTGGGATCAGTTAGGAAATACGCTTTCCTGCTTGCCTGGGGAGCAGAATAAGGACTAAATTTAACATAGATATGCAGAAGGTCCCTCTTAGCCTATTCTTCAAATAATACAAATAAAATCTAAGAAATCATAACCTGATAAATAATCAATCTTCACTAGTGTCTAGGGACTGAGGGATCTGCTGTAGAATGTTGCTACCTTTGGCGTATTGGGCATTTAATGAGAACAATGAAATTACTGGGTTTTGTACTTGTTATTCCAGCATGCTTTTCCACCAGCTTTGTAATGGTATTGAGGTGTTGAACTCAGCAAGGCCTGCTGGCAGCTTCTTTAATCTGCAAAGTAATTACTGACTCTCTGGAAGCAGCAAGGAGTTGTGCAGAGGAAAAAAAGCTCAATGGAATAACTGTTCTGTTAAGTTGTCTACTATTTTGTTTGCATGACAGATTTAAACTCTGATTTCCTTATCAGGCATGGATAACGTCAGCAGTTTGTTCTTCGTAGATAATAAGGCCTCTATATTAGACAACCTCAGGATTCAAGATTTGGGTCGGAAATTTCTTATTTCCATTGCATGTATTTAATAAAGTGTTAGGAGATTTTCCTTTTCTAGATTTTACTAGGTTATCTTATGCCTTCTTCCAGCTCAGGACACAATTTCTTTGAATATACCTACAAAAATAAAAGTGTCTCTCTAGTATCAATGGAATTACGTAATGGTCAAAATTGCAGCTAGGAAAAGCCTCCTCCCGCCCCTTTCAGCTTCCTGTTTTATTAAAGTTTTTGAAGTCTTTCTCTTTTTGCAGGTTGAAAGTAGAAAACGGTCTTTCCGAAAGATGTGGATAGTTCTTCTGTCCTCTGTTAAATACCAGCCTGCTCTGGCCTCTGAAT